TCTAGTTATTCTACTGATAGACCAAAAGTGCTAAAACCCACTTTGTTACTCAGTTTGATTCTAATCAACATAAGAGTCTGTAATCCAGCACTTTTGTATTCAACCTATCAATAACCAAATATCTTCGTTCGTTAAGTATAAACAATAGAATAAAAAAAATAGAAGAAGTTCATTCTTTGTTTTACACATAAACAATATTAAAATTACTGCTTACAATCTTTTATAAATTTTTTGCACTTTTTGTTCCTTCTTTGCAGCATATCGGGCCATTGTAAAGAACAAATCACTAAGACGATTTAAATAGATGCCAACATTTGGATTCAATGTTTTCTCTTTATGAATCAAACTTTGAACGAGTCTTTCACATCGTCGACAAATTGCTCTTGTTAAATGAAAATGAGTCGATGCTAAACCGCCACCACTAGGTAAAATAAAATTTTTCAATGGTTCCAGTTCCTGTGTAAGTTCATCAATGAACAGTTCTAAATCTTGTGTATGTTTTGCATCAAATTGTTGATAATCAGTTAACTTTTCATTTGTAGATAAATTTGACGGTGTAGCAATGCATGTTCCGATTTCAAATAGACGACATTGGATAGACTCAATAAAACTAATAATTTTAGGAAATTGATCTTGTTTATCAAATAAATATTCCAGACATAAACCGAGACTAGATGATAGTTCATCCACAGTGCCCAATGTATCAAATATTAAATCATATTTTACACGTCTCTCACCTGTAATCAAACCACTTGTACCGCGATCACCTGTTTTTGTATAAATTTTTGGAAGACGTGAAGATTTTGTTTTTTGTCCTAGATCTTCAGATGTTGACCTAAAACAGACAAAAACGACAAATAATAAAGATTTTTAATCAGATTGTACGTCTACGAAAGACTAACCAAACTTGTGCAAAAATTGTCGTTTTCTATACTTTTATGCTAATCTACGTGATAGATGAGATGAACTGCTGTTCCAAATCTACCCAACATATACTATATTTCTCTATTTCCTCAAAAATCTTTTCGCATTACACATTCTCCTGGGAAAAGACTGGAAGAGATGAACCATTTTCACTTCTGAATAATGAAAACTTACTGTATTTTTCAATTCAGTATCTTTTAAGATATGATTTCTTTTATTTAAATTATCAGCATGATATACAATAAAAAAATATGCTCAAATTCTATAGAGAAAAAACATACATAACAATATTCTTCATTTTTATTTAACGTTTTTTTCAGTACAAATACAGCAAAAAAACAGTAGAATATAAGGATGAAAAAGAATGAATAGTCAACCGTTACTCACTTACGATGCTGTGGATTTATTCTCTTTATCTTCATTTAATTTAGTTGGTGTCGATTCTTGTGTCAATTTTGGATCATTAGAGTTGATGCGATAAACAGTTTCACCCTTTGCATGCAATATATCAACAACATTCCTACAAATAGAGTAAAAAATAAAATGATGTTAATTTTTAACGAATTTGATGTATAAGTAAAGTTTAAATGTACTTTTTTCCGTTCATATCTGAAAACCAATTAAGATTATCAGCAATCAAATGCAAACTTGAACAATGGTCACATCGAATAATCACTACACCGTGCTCATATGATTGTTTGGTGAATGTCTTCTGTAGAGTATTTTCACATATTTTACATTTAAATTGAATACCCATTCGTGGTTGTGGCATGGATGATTCATCAGCATCTGCTCCCACTTCAATATTAGGCGAAGACGAAGTGGATGACGATAATTCTAATCGACGATCATGATCTCTACTAGAAGTTTCAATTAGACGACGAGAAATACTACTAGACAAAGATGTGAATTTAAAATGTGAAAACAATACTGATGATGGAAGTTTCGATCCTAACGACAGAATAGACTTAGAACGATGAGTTGTAGCCGGAAATAGGAGATGGCGACATAATAATAAACAGCGAACACGAATCATCTGAAAGAGAAACAAAAAGCACCACTCATAAAGCACATCAAATATAACTTCATAACACAACACATTCATTCGAATAGAAAAGAGTATTCACGTAAATCATTTGTACATAAACTTACTCTCTACAACTGAGATAGTGTCTGTTTTTTCTCTCTCATTGAAATCAGAATACATACAACATTCATATATCTAGTTGATTACATACTATATAAAAGTACTTAAACAATAGAGATAAGAGAATGTTGCTCAAACAGGCAAAGACAAATAAGCAGTAGAATACTGCAACAACTTTTATACGCAAAGAAAAGATATACTTTAGTTTTTGATCATGGTTATCACTCAGAAAAAAACGACAATATGCCTCACTTGTTCAATCAACCATCTTACATCAGACAATAATGTTAATGATGATAGAACAGAAGCAACGGATTGATCACTCACAATAAATATTTCCTCCAAATCAAAATTATACAAATCTAAAAGTATAACATCATAACAATTGTATAACAGCCAATCAGTAGCTTGACTTTTTTGTTTAGTCAAGTAGGAATAAGTTGATATCAATAAATTCATTTTCAAAATACGGATCCTGTTCACAACAGGTGATTGATTCTTTCATACCATTGACATTTGTTGATTGTTTACTTGTTATTTCCAATAAAATCGAGTTTGTTCGAAGTGATACATCAGCAATCCTTCGTGGCTTGTAGTATGTTTTAACGTTAATTCGGCCTTGTTTGACATACACGGGATTGAATTACTTTGCCTCATTTCCAGAGTTCTAGGTTCGACCCACGACTGTTTCAAATCATATACCCTTCGTTGATGGTACACTACTTTCAAATGACAAAGCGTATCGGTTAAGCGACAGCATATGTATGCTGTGAAAATTAGAAATAAGCGTCGTCTACACTTCGTTTTGTTCTCTAACAGAGATTTTCTATATCTACGACCCAAAAGGCAGAGCTTTTGTCAACTGGTAAGATACGATAAGACCAAAAATATGAATTTTTCTTAAAGATGAACAATTGACAATGTTAGGAGAAATAGACGAGAAACAGATAATTGTACACACAAGAATTAAAGATGATATAAAAAAGAATAAGCGTATTATTTCTTGCTACACAGTAGCCGTGATGTTTTTCTGAATACACTTTAAAGAATTAAGGCCTTTTTGTTCATCTATAAACAAGCTAATAACAGTTTTTCTTTTCTACGCATAAAATTTTTTTATCATATAGTCACGAAAGTAGAGATGAGCCGGTTCTTCTACAGATCGATCACACCCCCTACTGTGGTGTGTGTGGAGTGTGAGTGTGAGTGTGTGATCGATCTGTAGAAGTACCGATGAGCCTTACGCCTTAAAGTCGTCAGAAAACAACAGTAGATTCGTCTCTCTTCCATTATACTTTTGCATTTACAAGAAATCTCTTAACTCCTCGGCGTTATGAAATCTTTTTACTTCACCTTTCTATATACTACTTTCGCTCTTTCTATACGACATTCGAAGATTTTAAAATTTACTAATCCAGTGAGTGTCAGTGAGTTTCCTATAACAAGTTACATAGAATCCTTTACACAGTAATGCATATTTTCTCCTGACAACACAATCTTCGTTCCCTTATTCTTCCTTACACTGAGAACCTTTTTGAAACAATCCTAAACAACACTATTCAACTACAAAATATAACACGATACTCTTTTGTCACAAATATATCTATACTGCGTGCCATTAATGCTACTGTCTGAGTAAGGATGTACGCTGGTATTTTTGAGCGACCGATAGCATTCATGTAGTCCGCGGACTACATGAATTGTTCACTGCATGATTGATGTATACCGCGGTATACATCATGCAGTGCCGCATTGAAATTTTTATATTTGGTTGCGAAGCAAGTTCCTATCAGTGCATTTTACACTAATCGCGACCAATCTCTTCTGATTGGTGTATGTACTCGACACAATGATGCATTATGCCATGCATGTGATCATCATCTTTTCGTGCATGTTACTATTGCAAAAAATGAATTCAAGACTTAAAAGTCATTTGATTAACTTAATGAGGCTAAAGAGATTGAATTGAGGCTTTACGAGGAATAGACAAAATGGCTGTCTTACGAATTAGATTCTCTCATCACTGAAAAGCCCTTGGTTCAACTTTCTCTTGCTAATTCCTAATGCCTAAATAAGAATTTAACAAGATGCTGTCTCGCAGAATCGTTAATGGAATTCGACACCAATTGAAAAATTTTACACGAAACCAGGTACACATCGTTACTTTGCAAACTGCTCGGAAACGGAGAATGATTGTACTTTGTTTCCGAAAGCTACTATCCTTTAGGAGCTTGTCTTCATGCAAAGGGTTTGTTTAGCTAGCACTTATGTTTACCAAAATCGCATGATCTCTGCAGAAAGAGAGTTCACTTCTATTTTCTGACACTTGCTGCCAGCGTTTTTAATAGTACAGTGGATAAGTGAACTAGCGGCTGGACTTTACCATGAAAAACTGAAATGTAATATAATTTTCACTATGCACTTAAGTATAAATGTGATTATGAAGTGAGTTTGATTAAATTGCAAATTTTAAGTGTAAAATTTCTACTATATTGATTCTACAGTGTAAAAATCCACCATGGAAATAAGTCCTATTAAAGGTACTTCTTGCTGCTGTCAGAGAACATTTGCAAAAAGAATTTGCTATTCATGAGAAGCTGACTATGATCAAAGCTCGAAGATACGAAAGCAAAAACGTTTTTTGAATTTTCCTGTGAGCAAGTTTCAAGAGTTGTTTCATCTAATGCTTCTCAATACTTCTGAAGTTTGCTTTTGTTTCTTCAATATATTATCTGTTGTTATTAAAGAGTCGGAGTGTAGCAGTACCCTCTACGGGCATCAGTTACGAACAAACACTACTCAACGTACCAGAAACGCGTGTAACAGCCATCCAAAATGGTTTAAGAGTTGCATCAGAAGATTATGGTCTTCCAACGTGTACAGTTGGTGTTTGGATTGATGCTGGAAGTAGATTTGAAACAGACAAAAATAATGGTACAGCACATTTTCTCGAACACATGGCTTTCAAAGTGAGTAGTACAGTCTTAAAACTTCTTCTAGTTTAACGTTTGTTTATGTTTTAAGGGTACAAATAAACGGTCTCAATCACAGTTAGAATTAGAAGTAGAAAACTTGGGCGCACATTTGAATGCATATACGTCAAGAGAACAAACAGTTTATTATGCAAAATGTTTTAGTAAAGATTTACCTCAAAGTAAGAATAATGGAGAGTCAATATCATTTGAAGAGTTTCTGGTATTAAACACTAGAATCTTACGTATAAGAGAAAGAAGGGAGCAAAGTGAAGAGACGTCCTTCGTTTTGAAAGTTTCCTTACATTGCTTATCTGAAATACATATCCAAAACGTTGCTTATGTTGATCTTTTTCCTTTTAATGTTTTCAGTTGTCGAATTATTATCGGATATCATTCAGAATAGTAAATTCGGAGAAGATGAAATTGAACGTGAACGTTTAACAATCTTACGTGAAATGCAAGAAATAGAAAATAATTTACAAGAAGTTGTTTTTGATCATCTTCATGCAACGGCCTATCAGGGAACACCGTTAGGAAGAACAATATTGGGACCAACTGAGAATATAAAGTAGGTGTACTGAGAGATCTTATTTCTTGTATCATATAAAAATATTGCTGATGCAACGACTGATATTATAGCCGTAAATATGTGAAGTATGATTTTTTGTACGCTTGTTACGAGCTTGTTTATTTTAGATCGATTCAAAAGGGCGATTTAATGAAATATGTTAGTACCCATTATAAAGCACCTCGAATAGTATTAGCTGCTGCCGGCGGTATTAATCATGAACAACTAGTTAAATTAGGGGAAGAACACTTTGGAAAATTGAAAGCCGGTTATGATGCAGAAGTACCAGATCTTTTACCATGTCGGTAAGTTTTCAACTAGTTTATGCGCACATAAAACGGTAGTTCTAGTGAGAGCTGTAATCTTTTTATGAAGCTGTTTAGGCGAAGGCGTAGAAGCAGCGTTATCGATTAGGGGGTGGAAATTTGAATAAAGTTACTCAAAAAATTTTGACTTACTCAGAAATTTTTTAAGAAATTTAAGTTGAGAAACTGCTTTTTATGCACCTGAGTAAGTTTCTTCTGACAGTCTTCAATTAGCTTAAAACATGTAGTTACTCAGAAAAAATTTTACTCGAAAAATGTGTTACTCAAGAAAAAGCTTTAGTTACTCAGCAGACTCTCCACCCACCCCCCTCACCTCACCCCCACGAAACGAAACGAAGACTCCGCACCTGTCGAAAACGCTGCGTAGAAGTCATTTGCTTATTATCTGTCAATTGTTAAATGTCTTTCTTTTTTTCCTTTCTTTGTTTTTAGTTTCAGTGGCAGTGAAATTCGTCATCGTGACGATGATATACCATTAGCTCATATTGCCATTTGTACAGAAGGCACTGGGTGGGCTGATGCTGATACTATTCCATTGATGGTTGCCAGTACAATTGTGGGAAGTTGGGACAGGTAGAAATAAGACAGCTTTATTCTTGCCCATCAGTGTGGAGACATATCCCGATTGGGATATCATTTTTTGCAGCAAAATTTTTTTTATATCCCGAACGGGATATAGTTTGAAATTATATCCCGATCAGGATATAATTCGATATCC